TGCGGCAGGGATGTAAAAGTACTCTGAATTAATTAGAACAAGCTCAAATCTAGCTGCTTGACCAGGTGGAATTGATTAACAATCGGTATGTTTTCATTTATTGCCTTTGTGATAATGGTAATGTTGTTTGTTTTAATGGTATTGCCTAGGGATATATGTAGCTGTTGATTGGATCTTATCACGGATGGGTTAAGATAGGTTAAAATTAGGTAACAATTGAGTGTCTATTTGGCCTGCATGAAAACCATTTTTTCCTTATCCTGTCTTCACTGGACTATTGCCATTCTTTTCTTCGTGTTTGATACCAGCTGTTGGCTGTTGGCTCAGAGTGATTTTTAGAAGTTTAAGACAGATTCCTTTTTTTTAATCAAGTAAAGCTATTTGGCAACACTGTGTTTCTTTGCTAAGGAAATGGTGTTCTGAACATTTTAAAACCATTTTTCTCTACTTGAAATTAGCTACTACCACATAGTTGTAAGTAATTTATCCCACTTCCTTTTTGTCTGCCTTTGGCACTTGCTCTTGATTGTAGGCATCTTTCTTTTTCTCATCTGCAGTCACTGTAAATATAACCCTTTGCTTTATAGCACTAATGATGATTTTCACAGCTTCCTGCTTGTAAGTCATGATTGAGTTGCAGAGAGAAGTTGTTTGCCTCCTTTAAACATATTGAAGTCAGTAAACTCTAGAAAACAAGGCAGATATGAACTAGAAGTGATTTTTTTCTCCCCCAAGACTTTCTGCAAGTAAGATGCAATTTTCCATGGACTTGAAATAAATCATATGCCCTTAGAGACTATTAAGATCACAGTGCAAAGATGTGTCCCTTCTCTGGTGTCTTGATCACCTTGAAGAGATGACAGGATATCATCAATTATTACACAGTCCAAGAAAGTTTGATTACGTTCAGGTTTTTAATTTACTTTTCTTCAGCACAGTCAAAGTGCATACTTATTGGATAATAAATCACCAGAGTAAATTAGCATTTTAGGACAGATGTTTGGTTTTGGTGATGAGGGACAACTTGAAAGCTGCAGTTGGCAAAAATAGGGAGACATCTGAATATTGCCTCATCTGCAGAAGTCCTCCTGCTGAAGAACTACAGTAACCAAGGTTGTTTCTTCATTGCTTTATGATCTGTAAAGGTTTAAACAGTTTATCTGTGTGCTGGAAATAATTACAGAGATGTTTCTTTGTTTACTTTAGTGGAGTACTTTGTTCCTGTAAGATAATAAGGGGTGTTCTTTTCTCCTGTGATTTAGGCATTGTAATGGAAACACATTTTGAACAGGTCTAATTGTTCTTGTTACAGTTTATGCCAGTTTTTAGTAGCTTGTTCTTTCCTAAGTTTGCCAGTATGGAAGCTTTTAGTATGAAATAATGCAGAAGGAACACAGAGGGAACACTTTGGAAAACTTAAGTTTTGCACTGAAGCCTCTCTTCTTGAGTTGATGTTTAACACAATATTTTTCTGATTAGCACATTATGAGGTTGTTTTTTTTTTTTTTTTTGAGAAATAAGATAATACTCTGCCCAACAAAACCTTTTTTATAGGCTGTTTTGTTTTCTTTTCTTTAATTGAACATCCGCTGAAGAGATACAAACTTTCCCAGATGGCATTTAAGGTCCTTTGGTTTTTAGCTTCATCAATTCTGTGATGTTTTCATTTCTGTGTTTAACTCTGAAGAACAGTGTTGTTATTAAACTGTTTGTTTTAACTGAGTCACGATTATGGTATAAAATGGGCAAAGACTATTCCTCCTTAACTTCAAATGTTTTTAAACTATTGGCATTTGAACGAGAATGTTTCCAAAACATGTATTGGAGAGGATTGCACTGCATCAGTAGTTACTAGATGTCTTTTAGTCCTTTAGAATTTCTGAAGACATAGCTCTGAGAAATATTTCCATGTTGCTTTTTTTTCCTTTACTAGGTGGCAAAAGATGAGAAAGTAGAGGTGCTTGAAAACCTCTCTTTTCCAGAGCTATATTTTCATGTGGTTGTTTCTTTACTTAGCTGTGGTACTACTTTGTCTACATTAAGGCTTTGCAAGACTTAATGTAAACATTGAAATAGTTGGTGTTCATAGATACGGGATATAATGCTTGACTTTTTTGGTGAATTACCTATGGAATGTGCCTTTAGGATTTGTACTTTATGAAGCAATTACTGACTCAGCATACAATGAGTTTAGCACTAATAACAAAAAAATCAACTTTTAAGGGTTAGAGTGAAGGTTTATCTGATCCTGCATCCTCTTTCAGAGTGGCCTTGTGGATACTGCTGGAAAGCTATAAAAACAAAACAAGCATAGAATGGTTTTTCCTGTACTGTATCATTGCTGATTTTAGTTTTGTGACTTGTAGAGAAGATATCTGCACTCTCTGCCCTTTGAGTATTTCTTCTTGATTTCTGTGACACTGGCCTTTCACAGTGTTTTGTGCACTGAATAAAAGAGATATGATACAGAAACAATATAATAATGCCAAGTCAGGCACTCTGGGATAAGAAATACCACGAACAACAAAACTACACAAATCCATGTCTTTGGCTAACTTGAAGGAATCCAAAAACATCATTTGTATGTTTACACAGTGCAATCAAGACTTTTCTTGACAAATGACAAAGTTTGTCAAGAGATTTACAGACATTTTTTGCAGATACCACATCATTCACATAGCTCTTGTTGGAGTCCTATCCTTTCATATTATCTGCTTTGGAGAGAAAAGCAGAACTGCGTTATTACGTACTCTAAATTGGTGAGACTGGTATTGGCAGCAATATTATCTCTGTCTTCCTGTCTGGTAGATAAAAGAGAATATTTTCATCCTTCTTTCCAACAGTGCTCTTAGAAGCTTGAGTTCTTTTGATCAGTAATTGGCTGTCTTGGTAGTGTGATCATCACTTTTTACAATAAAATGCAAAGTCCTCTAAGGTTCAGTAGCTTTCCAGGAATTCATTGCTTGTTCAGGTAGTGGCAGCGTCCAACAGGTGCCCACCTTGGGGGTATATAATTTGTAATTTGGTTGGGTTGAAACACACAGAACTTTCATAAAAAGTGCACTTGGTCTATGTAAGCAAGTTCTTCCCAACCTTAATTATTGTATAAAGAGTGCAAACATTCATGGGGTGCTTGGTTAGCAGGGACAACATGCTTGGTAAAGATAATAAATTTCCTTAAGACAAACATATACATTGCTTTAGAACTCTTTTTTAGAAAGATTGTACAAGGTGATATTTTTTATAATAAGAATATTGTAGGTCTACTAATGAAATGGATTTAAATAATTACAGTTTTTGTACAGTACCAAAGCACTCTTATCAATCCATGTATAATCAGTAAATTTACCTGATGTTGGCATGTAACAGAGATTCTTCTCTTGTATTAGTTTTATTTCCATGTAAAATTTCAAAATCTCGAATGTAAAGCTTAAAATTCATGATGAAACATTTACTTGACACTTGTAGATTATCTTCAGAAGTTGGTTTCCAAGCCCATCATATATAGCATTGAGGGAAGAAAAATCCCAGGCATCCAAGAGCATTTTGTTGTGATTTTTCAAATTCATCAAATGAAAGCAGAAAGCTGTAATAAAAGCTGTCAGACTGTTTTAACTGCAGATTTTGTTTCTACTTGCATTGCTTACTGTGCTGTGACAGATAGTGTTTATAGTTTTCAAACAATTCGGTAGTACTGTTTTTGCCAAGTGATAACTGTTTATCCTTGGAGAATTGTGGGCTCCCTGTATTCCACTAGAAATGATTTTTATCAGTTATAATGGTATGATTCATGTTTGATGTGCCTGAGAACATCCTTCTGTGCTCCCTGGCCTTCCTAAAGAAGGGATTTTAAAGCTGTTCTACAAACCAACTTAGCAGTCTTGTTTTGCTTTGTCCTACACATTGCTCTCATCTGTTAGTTATGAATTGAATTCTGTCCAATTCTGGCATATTTCTGAAATCCAGTTGGAATTTTTTTTTGTAATGAAGGACTGTGCAGTATTTTCTTATCAATCTGTACTCTTAAGAAGTATTTGTAAATATAAACAAGGAAACAGTGTATGTGCTACAGTAGATACAGACTTAGTGCCTGCAAGCTCATCGTTACCCACTTCTCCAGTAGAACTTCAACCCATTGTGTTTGTTTACTAATGCTGTTGGGTACTTTTTCCACATGAATGTCCTGAAGTCAGTAAATGTGCCAAAAGCAGGAACTGATATTTTCTTGCACAAAGAGAAAATGCTCAAGAAGATGCTTTAAGCATAAATTAGCTGATTTTTTTAATGTCTTTGCTAACCATGTATCTTGAGTAATTACCAGCTCATCTGCATTTGATACAGCTGTTAAGTGCACTGAAGAATGAATGCTAGATACATTCTTATGGGATCAATCCGATTGTATCTTTTCTTTTGCATCTGGAAACTGCTTCTGTAAATGAAAGCACTCCTATTTTTATGCTTTCGGGGATGTCACTGTGACCTGTTAGCCTTTACTGAACATGTAAAGAGGACTTGTTCTTTGAGACCAAGGCATTTACCCTTTTGTAACCTTTCTATGTGTTTGGCTTGCAGGATATGCAAAGAGAATCAGTTTTTACCAAGTGTTAAACCTTACCTATTGGCAAATGCTGACTGCAAGTAGCTGGATTTTCTAGTCCTGTAGTGAAAATACACTTTGATCAAGTGCTATTTGTTACTAATATTTCAGACTGAGGGAAGAAAAGATTCACTGGTCTGAATCCATGACTTAGCCCCAAATATTTAGAACTCCAGGTGTAGTTTTAAAATCAGCTTAAGTAGGGATATTGGCAAGTCACTTAACTGGTTTGCCTCTTCTTTTCCCTTGGTTACGTTAGAGGTTTTGAGAGGCTTTGTTTGTTATTTGGACTGCTTATAAGGAATCAAATGAAATATCTCATTGGCTATTGAAAACATCAGCAAAAACTGTAATTTTTTCATGTTTGCTTGAGGTTTCTTTTTTTTTTTTCCCTTTTGATCAGGTACAAAGAAGGTGGTGAAGCTTTGTTAGTATTGCTTCCTTCAGAAGAAAAAGGGATGGTGGAACAGCTGGCACAGAGGAAAGTACCTATCAGTGAAATCAAGTAAGTGGCTAATGGCCTGCCTGTTATTCAGCCTTCTTTCTAAAAGAGTAATGTGTGATGAGGCTTTGACAATCTTGATAAAGTGGTTTAATTGCCTGGAGCTGGACAAATCAGAGAAATGAATTAGTTTTGGTAGTGTTGTAGAAGGAAAAGACCTTGAGAGGTTACCTATTTTATTGCTGTTCCCAAAGGCAGGATGAGCTACACAAATCATTCTTATCAGATGCCAATTAATATATTCACAGTTTCCCAAAGAGACCTCATCCGTACTCAACAGTTACTGCTATTAACATTTTTTCTTCAAGTGTCTGATAAGACTTGTAAGTAATTTAAATGAAATATTTCTTTTGTTTTGTGCCAAGAATATATGGAAAGTGATATTCTCTTACTCTTTGCAGCTTCTTTCTATATAATTGAACATGATAATGCTCTCTTTCTCTTTTGCACATTAAACAGTTTCAATTTCTTTAATCTGTCCCTGTATGTTTTTATTACTGTTAGAATTTTTGTTTCTCTTATCTGTTTTTTCTTCAGTTCTAGACTATTTCCCCAGTTTGTCTTGACCTTTCTGAATCAGTTAGTTGAAGGACAGAAAGTAAAAGATGGTCATTTTACATACTAAAAAGAGGGTTCCAAGGGAAACCTGTAAGGAGCTGAGCTCTCTGTACAAATAGAACTGACTTTGAAGGAATTGCAGAAGCATATAACAATACCAGGTAAAAATAAAAAAGCATGTTTCCATTTTCCTTCATATCCTTCCTGCATGTTAAATGCAGGAAGGATATGAAGGAAACACAAAAACCCTAACTGTAAAAAATTAGAAGAAAAGACTACCACTAAAAAAATTATGGTAGTTTCTTATTTAGCAGCTGTAGGTAGGAAAGAGTTTACTATTTTCTGGGCCTGTCAGTCTGATGTTGAATTAAGAGAGAAAAGAGAATGTGAAAGAAATATGAAGGAAGAATTGAAAACAAACCAGAAAATGTGTTATCAGCCTGACTCCATTTTTAACACTTAAAAAGTTCAGGTCACACCATGCCAAAAATTGTACAGCAGAGATAAAAGAAATCAGAGAAAGATGACAAGGGAAAAAATGCAAGTTGCTGTGTGAGTGGATATAAGCAAAGCTAGGCCTGTTTTACTTTGAAAAGCTGTGGTTTGCATGTGAAGATACAGTTATCTAAGCAAAGAAGGGAATTAAATATACTGAATTTCTATATAGAACAATTGTTTTTGAGAAGAAATCAAATTAGAATGAAACCGTAGGTGGTTACTTACATATCATTGCTTAATCTTCAGGTTTGCTCAAAATTTACAGGTTGACATTTCTTCAGAGAACAGAAACAATACGTATAGCACTTTCTGGATTTAAGGTTTAGTTTTATATTTAAGTATTTTTGTTGTATAGGATATGCCATTTCAAAGGCTCTTCTGAACTGTACTTTTGACTGCTATTTCTGTGTAACAAACTGAGTACACAGCAGCTGGTGAAATAAATCCACCTTTTCTGGTTAAACACATATCAAATTCTGTAGGATGTGGATGAACTTCGAACATAAACAATTTTTGCTAAAACAGTGAATTAAGGACTAGAATTCAGTCCAACAGCTACTTAATGACAACCCAAACAAAACCTCACCAACTGAATGTGGATAATATCAGTAAAGGAACGGAAGTCTGACATTTTGTTTTCATTTAAGCATCACAGTGCTTTAAAAGGATCTGTTGTATAACCACTGCAATAAATTCTCTTTCCAAACTTTATATTTTTCCTTCTTAAAATGGTAGTTATTGAAGTAATTTATCTTTTTTTTTATATTCGGTATAATGTCTGATCTCATTCACATTATAAATATTTCCCCTTTCCCATTTCTTTGTCAGCTAAGCTTTTAGCTTCCTAAGTAATGGTGTTAATTGTTTGAACAGCTTATCAAAGGAAGTGGTAAAAAAAACCTCTTTAGCCTGTATTTATCATGTAAATAGAAATCCATGTTTTTGTACAGGGATAATAATCCAATTTTAATATGGCAAATATTTCACCCCCAGTAAATGCACATTATATTTAGAATGGCTGCATCTCTTAACATATTGTTGTTTATCTGATGTTATTTCGATGGAAAACTCTGCTGCTTTTTTTTTTTTTTTAATTCCCCAGAAATTCATTCTTGTACCAAGCCACTAGGATATACATATTATAAATACATAAGAAATATTCTTAATTGGAATCATTGTTAGAAAGTCAAGAGTTTTGATTGAGAAGATATTTTAACAGCCGGCCCCAAGATCCAGTTTTTCAATCTGCAAAACAAGGTTTAATAGAATATATAACATCATAATGAAGGGGAATGCTTTCACTTAGAATTGTCTGCCTAGTGTGATATGATTTAAAAGATACAGCCTTGTCCTTGTAAGAGGCTAACTAAAATATTTAAAATGTTTTTCTTGTAATTACTTATGGATTGCAAACCAATTTAATTCTAGAAATTTTTAACTACTGCTTTTCTCATGCTGTTTACTTCCAGCCAGTTTCCCAATTAATACAACTCCAGTGTGTTTTGTCAGTTTATAAATTGTTTAAGAAGTTGCATGAACCCATGGTTCATGTTCCATGTCTTGTGGTGAAGTCTTCTCATGTTGTTTGTGCTTATTCACCTAATTATAGATTCTTAAGAACTCTAACTTAGGAATTAGAAGATGATGAGCATTGCTCACTGCCAACGGAGTTTAACTGTTCAAATTTCTGAAATTCATTCTGAAAGTTTTTTTTCAAAAGCTTGTTTCTAAAACATTGTATATTCAAATATTTGTTTGGCTGTTCTTATTAATCTGTTGTCTGGTATAGTGGTCATAAGAATGCTGTTACTTTTCTTATTTTGTGTTTTTTGATTTGCAGACTATTTTTGATGTTGCTTTATTTCATATAGACAGACCTTTTGAAACAGTTCTATAATTTGAAAGTAGAGAAAGGAAGAACTTTCTTGATACCTCTTCAAAGGACTGGGGTTTAGGCTCTTTCCTTAATTTTCAATTTTAGATCTAAGCTGCCAGTACAGGTTTTCAGTAAACTAGTCCCTTCTAATTAGCACAAGCTGCCAATTTACAGGTAGTGCTTTTAATAGTACATAACTTCTTCATTGTTCAAAAAGAGCAAGAGAAAGCGCAAAATATGCAGTAATAAATGCAATATCTTTGAGCATTTAAATATGGCAAAAAGGTACTCTGAAATTATTAAATGGTTTGTACATATTTTAAAGGAGTCTATAATCTCCAAATTTTTCATGCAAGCTCTAAACTTAAACTATTTTTGATCATATTTTGAGGTTACTTTGTTGCATTCAACTTTGTTGGGTAAAAAGCTAAGAGTTGCTTCCTTAGCTGTTACTGTAACAGATTTTGTGTCTAGAAAATTTTACCAAAGGAAGTTCAAATACATAGATACCCATGATGTAGTATTGCTTTCTTTAATTTTATGGCAAAAAAAAAAAGTGTTTTTTGAGGAAAGCAGCAATAACAACAATGAAACACCTTTTTTTTCCTTCTTTTTTCTTTCTCACAGTGAATAATATTTGGATGTGTATTCCACACGTTGGTAGTATCAATATTGGGGATCTGTAAAAACTCACTGCCTCCCAGTTGCCATAGTTACTGTAAGACAATATACTGGTGTCACTATTCAGTGTGGTGCTACCCCGGTGTGTGATCTGCTGGGTGTCTTTCTTAGGTGCCAGCCCTTCCTCCTCCCTCCAGCCTTCAGGCTGTCTCTGTAACCATAAGAAGCCACGTTCCACACTGACAGCACCGTGCAAAACCTGCTGCTGCTGCTTGGAAGCTGCGTGGAAGTCTGGAAACTGTTTTGCTGCAGCAGGGCCTTTTAGGTGGTTGTTGATCTTTTTTGCTTAAATTCTGTTTTGGAGAAGAGTGGAGGAAGGACAATGCTTAGTTAAAACAGTGCTTGTATCCTAGCATATGAACCAGGGAAAATGGGAGGAAATCAAAATGTGTATCAACCAGAAAATTTGGAGATTGCTGTCTGATCAGTACATAAGGCCAGGCAAGCTGGGTTAGGCAACTGGTAGGCAAAACTGTAGCTTCAGAAAGTTGTATGGCTCCTTAAAGGTAAGATATGTGATCACAGAGTAAGAAATAACCAGCCTACTTAAAATGGCAGGCCATGTTATAAAATCCCCTTCTAGCCTTTGCATAATTGGTTTCAACTCATTGGTTCTTAGCCATTTAGGCAGGCTTATCAATTATGATAATGATTTTCAGTGTTTAGCTTTTAGGTTTACTTCTCCTAATAGTGAAATGTATACAATTTATTGTAAAGAGTTTTACTTGTTCAGAAAGAAGTAACATACAAACTCATTAAAACCAAAATCCAATTTAACAGTGGCCAGCTTTCCCATTTTTTGAATCTCAGCATGAGAGGAAGTTGATAGTGGATGATTTGTCATGATACAGTGTTGGAGAAGAGAGAATTCAGTACTACTTCTCTTTTTTTGGTAGTCAGTGCTGCAAATTTGCTCATTCATTAACAAACACATAAGCTTAAAATGTGCCTGGGGTACCATGTTCTTAGTTGACATTGCTTAGATTTATACCATATTATCTAGCTATGCTTTTAAATTGTGAAGTGTGTTGAGGATTTTTGCCTTTTTCAAACCCTTTCTTGCAAATTTCAATTGAGTTTCTCAAAATTTAGATGCAGTCTACAAAATATGGCTGTATTTTGTCTTGAATTGTTGCCTGTTATGCTTGGAGCCTCAATGACACATAGTCTCTTATGAATAATGAATCATATTCCTACAATAATCAAGTAATAGAAAATAATGAGTAATAGCATGTATAGGTGAAAATTGGAACTTCGTAAGCATTTTGAGTTTGACAATGGCAGCAGGCAGTAGTTGGCACTCTCAGCTACTCTATGAGAAGTGCTCCAAGGCCATTTTTGCATTACTTAAAGATTTCACATAGATCATGTTTCCCTATTTTATGAGAACGTACAACTGCCAGATACTTTCCTGACACCAAATGTGACATCTGCTGTTTCTTTCCCATTCTTAAAACCTGCTAATGCTGCTATGGAGGATAATCAAACTGATAAATCATATTTTGCTTCTTACTAAGCTGTTTTAGCTTTTGTGTATTTGCTTGTTTTCTTTTGGTCCTTCCTAATTGGGATTTTTTTTGTATCAAGAAAAAGTTAATTGTTTAACTTCCTTTCTGCCCCCTTTGAATATGAGCACTGTATTTACATAACCTGTTGGATAGGATTTTTTTTCCTAGTTGCCATGGAGCAAATTTCTTTTGACCCAGCTGATTTATTGGAATATTTGGTCTCCCATGATTTGTGATTCTGGTGTGAGCTTGCACTTTGCTGTAGCTGTTGTTAGCTGACTGATTGCAGCTGCCACTTGGAGTGAAGACAAGATAAAAAAGCACTGGCTAATTTTAGGGCTTTGAGGTCATCTCTTAATAGCTTTCCCCTCACTTAGCAGCAATTCAACACTTTTCTGGACTGTCATACTACTGGTGTTCATATTAATCTTTTTATAACTCATCCTATTCTTTCTTTACTTTTTGTATCATTATATTTCAAAGATTTGTTGGTCATTTGTCCCCCACTTAATTTTTCACACTTTTTTTTTTCAGTCTTAGGCTTTAAAAATTTTAGAGCCAATTATGTACTGTCTGGAAACTGGAACTCAAGTTTTTTAGTCTTTCACTAAAACTGTAGCTAAGAGTGCTTGTGTACACTGTAGTTTTCCCCTGGCTGTATCTGAACAGAGTGAAGAAATTGAAATTGTAAGGGAATGAAGCATGATACTGTTTTCATTTTTAGGCAGAATAACCTCCCACCATGTTTACTAGTTTATATGATACACTGGGGTGGCAGTAGCAGCTCAAAAGTAGATGAGATCTGGGCAAATAACTCTGCAATAATGTAGATATCACAGGAATAGGTTTAAAAATTTGGAATCTGGGAAAGGACCTATATATCTTTTTAGCAGGTTTAATGGCAATTTCTATAGTGCAGTCAGTATTCTTTATTTACTTGAGAAGCTCTTAAATCTGTTTAATCTCAGTGTCCTTTATTATTGCTCACCTGGCTTTTATTTCTAAGAAATACTTAAATTTCAGTATTCCTGGCACAATGAATCTTATTTAAGCTTTTAGAAATGCTGACAATTTCCTTATGAAGACTTTTATTTCAGTATAAAGTAGTACTATAATTCATTATGCTGTTCTGTATTTTTGCAGTATTTTTACAAAATCATGAAGTTCTTTTCTGCTGATTTCTGCTTTGCTTTAGAATAAGTTTCACCACCTGTGAAAACTGTCTGAATAAAACAGCTGCTATTTATCTTTCCTGCATTATTTGTTTGAGGAGTGTAATCTTCATCCTAAATATGGTTCCATTCTGTACTATTTCATTGGTAATTGCTCTGTGCATATTAAAACAATGCAAAAGATGTGCCTGAGAAGGCACAGAAGATGTTCCTGAGAGCCTAACAGGTGCTTATTTTGGCATGTTCTAATAATTAAAGCTTGGGTGTTTTTTTTGTTTTTCTTTTTTTTTTTTGTTTTTAATTAGAATTAATCCTGAAAAACTTACAGACATTCAAAAGAGACTGCAAGCATTCTTAGCTCAAGATCAGGAGTTAAAAGAGAAAGCTCAAAGGGTAAGTAATCTGCTACACTATAATTCTTGGGGTGTATTAATTGAATAGAACTGCTATGTTTGAATAACTGACCAGCTCAGACATGCCCTAGAAGCAGTGTTTGGAACCGAAGAACCACCAGAGATAGTTAAGCACTTGTGTTAGGAGAGAAACATAAATTAGAGAGAACCAGAGTCTTCTGAGTGATGTCCAGTGGCAGAAGAGGAGGCAACAAATTTCTATACAAGAAGCTCAATTTAAACCCCTAAAAAGCCTTTCTTGTGAGAGTGGTTGAACACTAGAGCAAGCGAGGCTGTGCTGTCTCCACATGCTGGTTATTATAACCTGGGTTCCTTCCTGAGCAACCTGCCCTAGCTTACCTTGGTTTGAGCAGGCGCTTGCACTAGAAGGTCTCTGAAGTTTCTTCTCGACTTCAACTACTCTTGAGTTTCTTGGAAAGCTAATACAGAAAATGTCAAAATAACCTACTAATAAAAAAAGGTTACTTAAAAATAGCAGATCACATTATTTGACTTGAAAAGCTAGAGATATGAAACCATGTAGGCCTCAACATGCCCACCTTGATCAATTTTTATTGTCCTATATACTGAATATATGTGACAATTTGTCCTTTGCAATCCAGTGCATTGAATAAAGCATTTAAACTTTCGTTTGGATTTAAATGAGCAGCAAAATAGCTCAGAATACCTCTTCTGGGTAAGATGGAGAATTATGTGAATGGGTTTATAAATGGGATTTCTTTGCTGTGCTGGTTAATGTTGGGAGACTTAATGGACAATATGTGCATTTCAGCACATGCTTATCAGGTTTGGGAGGGTAGGGAAACATCAAATAACTAAGTAGGTTCCTGGATGAGAATGAGCTTGGTTGTAAAAGACATTTTCCACAAAAGCCTGTGAAACATTTCTGGAAATTGCACTGCCTCTTGCAATCACTCAACATGTATGCTGACCTTTCCCTGGTTTTATAATATTTTTAGGCCATGAACTCTTTGGAATGGAGCTTGCTACTTGTTTTATTGAAGCACTGTAAGATGTTGGTTTTCTGAGGCTGGTTGGTTTGTTGGGGTTTTGTTTTGTTTTTGTTTTTGAACTGTGTATATCATTAGCTTGTGAATTCTGTTGTTGTATCAAGTTCTTCAAAACTATACAAAATCAAAAGCTCAAATTGAGATGCAGGAAAACACAGTTGGAAGGATAATAGGATAATAATGTAATTTTTTCATATATATATATATATATATATATATATATATATATATATAGGTCAAATTAAAGAGTACTACCAAAGGCCACATGGTGAGAAATCCAGAAATGCCAAAGGCTGAGAAATATACGATTGCAGAGATAGATTCTGGATTACTGTTAATAACTTTTTATTTGTATGAGCTAGTGTGGGTATTAATGACACTTGAAGGTATACTGGTAAACCTGAGTGGTAGGGTAAAATGAAAAGAGGATTGTGAAAGCTTAGAGAAACCATGAGTTTTAATCTTTTTATTTAACTGGGATGTAAAATGAGTCAAGTTGAAATATTTAAAACTCTTGAGATTCATCTCACCTAGCTATACATGTCCTTGGTGAGTTAGTCTGCCTAAATTTTCTTTTATAGCTGATAGGATGGAATAAGCACTTCTACAATGCCTCCTGGCACAGATACCTTAAAACCCCTTTGGGATAGATGGATGGAGGTTTCTTTGTGCTGCAGAGGTGGGCTATGTGATGTGACCTCTCGGAGGCCTGCAGTAGGGACACTTAGTGAGTCAGAGTAATGCCATTCTTACTTTCTTAAACAAGGAGATTTAAATCAAAGTGCCCGAGGAACTCAGTGAGAGCTTTGTGAATAAAATGTCTAAGGCAATGTTCCAAGGGAATGCTTTTAAAAACTATTTTTGGCTTTTAGGTATTCCAGGTTTTTGGAGTGCACAAAGCAGTACCTGAAGCAGTGTGTAATGTCAGTGGAAGCTTCATCCTGGTGCTGCACAAACCAGAGGCACTGGTGTCACATTCACCTCCAGCTGCCACGGGAAGTTGCAATTACACCAATTTATGTCAGAAGTGACAGAGCAGCTGGCTGTGGGAGGATGAGAGTAGGATTAATCCAGCATCATCTTAATTGGAATGAAAACACCAACAAATGTCTGTTTCTGCCTTTGGCTTTTTAAGATCTCTTAAAAGTCAGAGAAAGATCATTCTGAATTGGGCAGACGAATGATAAAATTTCAAAATAGCCCAAGAATAAAATCAAGCATTTGTTGTCTGTCAGTATTGCAAATGCAAACTTAAATTTGTTTTGAAAAATTTTAATTGTCATATAACTACCATTTGAGGCCATTTTTGTTGCAGTTTTAAATTTATGGATCGCAGAGAAGTGACATTCTTGCAGGCAAGCTGTAAATACATTCAATTTTTGAAAAACTTGAAGTATGGACAAGTGGTTTATCACAGAAGTGTCCCTCCTTAATAAGGTTTAACTATGAATGTTCAGACATGCTATGCAAATGTGCCCAAGTAGTCTTACATGTCAATGTGAATAAAACAATGAAATGAATGCAAATGAAATTCTGACCTTGAATCATTATCTGAAATGCTGGATTTCTTAGAGGCATGGGTATTACATTGTCTAGCCTGTCTGTTGCAAGCTGCCAAGTTCTTGACATTTGTAGTGTAAGAAATAAATTCCCCACCTGAATGGATGAGACAGCAGTGAGACAGCACAGCTATGCACAGAAGTTTGGATAGGATGGTAGTCTACCATCATGTGTTGAGGGCATGAGGCTTGTAGATTTACTTCAAGGTGCCTTTGCTTTTTTTGAAAATACAAAGTTCTTGATTACTAATTGCTTCAACAAACTTCATGGTTCATTTAGTAGGGCATGGCTCCTCTGCTATTGCTTGGAAAGACAGTTTGAATCAGATCGGGGCTCCTTTGAAACCTCTGCAGTTGTTCTTATGGACCAATGCTGCCTTTTGGCATTTCTTGTAATTTTAATATTTAATACATCAGCCAGTTCTGGAAAACTGTTTTAAAAAAAGAATTTTTTTTCTTGCTAGTTCGAATGTTATTGTGGCACTGAAGTGATGTCTGTTCAGCAAATTCTTCATCACACCTAGAGATATGTGCAGGGTGTTACAGCCTAAAATTCCAGCCACAGCCTATTACGTTTGAATTACTGTCAAAACAGCACTTCAGTTGAATTGTGTGCATTTTAATACTTACAACAGTTATACAGGAAATAGAACAATAAATCAAAATTTAGAGGTAGTAAATTCCTAGAGCATGGTACTTTTTCGTTATGTATTTCCAGTACTTGTACAATAATCTCCAGTGCTTTTGGAGATGTGTAGCTACTATTGTAGTAGAACTGTAAATGTTAATGATGCCCAACCATAACATTTTCCACAGAAATTACTGCATATAGTATTTTTGCAATGTTCAGTTATTAAAAAAAAAAAAAGCTTTGAAAGTGGTATCAAACAGCAGATATGGCAGGGGACAACAACAATTGTAAAATAGCAGGGAGAAAATTCAGGCTGACTCAACTTGTTCTCCCTCAGCCCCAATGTGTGTGTGCAGACTGAGGAATTCTCAGGATAACTGAAAAAAATCCAAGTGAGATGACAGCATTTTAGACAGAGATTGAAGACAACACACTGAAATCAAATTTAATGAATCAGAGAAAATAGCTTGATTTCTTTTCTTGTTAAGTAGAGCAACTCTTCTATGCATTTGTTTGGTGCTTCATTCTTAGTTATTGTAGGGCTTGAAAAGCATGCGAAAAGTGTGCCCTTTATAGTCTGTTAATTTCTAGACCATGTGTACCAAATATATGCTAGTAAGGTAAGTGCATGGCTTTATCAGTTATCCAACAGATATAAGGAGATTTCAACCCTGAAGCAAGTAGTGACTCATGTAGTTATTCAGATCTGCAAATCTTAGATTCACAGGAAGGATACTTATTTTTTAATCTACTTTTTTTCATCTGTCACTGCAGAGAAAAAAGAGGCTTCCATTGATTTTTGACACTTGCTAGACAACGGTAGATTAATGAGATCTGTCAAATTTGAAGCCTTTTCCTAAACATTCTAATTATCTTTGTAAAATGATTAATAATTCAATGTGAGCAAAGAAGTATTTGATGTAAGTATTCCACATATCAATCTTGGTAGCAGCTGAATGAATTGAGCTCACACTTTCCACAGCTAAAAATAGTTGAAAGACGTAATCAGGAAGGAAACTTTATCCAAAAAACCCTCAGCATTATGAAAAACAAGGAAATGAAAATTTACTTTTAAAGTGAATTAATGGGCAGCTTGCAAAGTATATCTCTTAACTCTACATACCTTACAATCAATAGTTTTTATTTTTGTTTACTCAGGAGAAAAGAATGAGTTTATAACATTGCTTAATTTATTGTCTTATGTTACATTTTACCTTTTGAAGTGTTTTTTCTCTTACAAGCATTTCAAGAATCCCCATAAGATACCAGTGCTCCTGACTGTTGAGTGTTTGCTCCTCTATCTAAAGTTAACAAGAAATAGATTTTTTTTTTTTAATTCCACATGAATTATTAATACAGTAGTTTCCTCCAATAGGTGCCTGTACATAACAGAACAAGAGTGTGATTATAGGATGCTTGAATGTAACTCTTGTGAGTTTAACTCGCTGTTGTTACTAATGTTTGCTGGTTTAAGTCTCATGATAGGAGTTCTGGCATGTTTCAGAAATAAGGTTAAGAACAACAGAAATCCAAGGATCTTTTCTGATACTTGAAATATTCCAGTATTTATGCTGCTGCTGCTAGGTAGAACTAGACTATGTGAAAGAAGCATGAGAAGAATAGGAAACTTTCCTTTTAGGAAGGAGGGCAGGAAAATGCAATGCAAGATTAAGTAGTGCTTCCACTTATGTAGTGCTTCCAGTTTTCTTGGGGAAGGTCTGTGATTAATTGATACTTCAACCTTGGACTGGTCTTACTAGGTTTGATATAGCGAATTTGTCTTGGTCAGCTGAGTTGTATTCATTGACTATGTGCATGTGGTGAGCTGATGGTAAATGCAAGTTAATATGAATCATCTTAGATCACAGTGAAGTGCAGCTATATTAAGTTGGATAGCTTCCTGCTTCTGGATAAGATTAAGTCAGGACACCTCCGATTGATAGCAACAAAGTCTGTTTGAAGTTCAACATAATTTAGATATTGGAATAGCATAACAGTATTCAGAAAAGCTAGGAGAAAAAAAATCAAATTGAATCAGTGATGTTTCCTTCTGACTAATCTGTCATATTTTCTTTCTAGGAAAATATAACATGACATACTGTTGTGAAATTCAGTCAATGTCAATTCAGCCAATACAAATGTAATGAAATATTTGAGTACTTGAAGTTGCATCACTTCTGTAGTAGCAATAAATTTTGTCTGATGAGTACTTTAAAAATAATTTCAGTCTGAAATTGATGTTAGACGACCTAATAAGGAAACTGAATCTATTTTGTGTTTAGAGTAACAATATAATGTTTGGTTTTTGTGTTGGTAATTGAATGGTCTTTTTTTATTAAATGTTTTCATTTTTCTTTCAGTGTTTTGTATCCTACTTGCGTTCAGTTTACTTAATGAAGAACAAGGAAGTATTTGATGTTTTCAAATTGCCTCTAGCAGAATATGCCCTGTAAGTATGGTCAGCTTAAAATATGAAAGCTGTACAGTGAGAAGTTTTGCAATCTTTAAATAGCTCTTTTGATTGTTAACACACAGAATTTGATTTCTAGTATTGTAATGTATTTAGTTTCATATTCATATTGAGCTTTTTGCATATTTTCAAGAGCATTCTAAATGGAAATTATGTGTAAAAGCAATATTTGCTGTACATAGAAATAATTTAGAGCAGAAGGTACATTTGCTGTATACACAGAAGACATATCTTCTTGAGTAAAAGGATAAAGAATAATGTTTTGGTGTTTTTCCCTTCCCAGATTTGCCCTTCATCCTCATAGCTAAATACCAGCCTGTAAAGTGTATTATTTAAAAAGAAATTGGAAGTATCTAAAGAGTATGATTTGGACATTTCTCCTTGGCCATCAATTACTTTTTGAAGATTCAGTGTGTTTGGTAAAGATGAAGCATCTGCACTAGACTGAATAGCATCTATTTTGCTAGGTCTATTTTTGTGCATGTATGTGAATCATTCCATATTTTGTATGGGAGGGAAATTAATTTTGACAGGTTGACAGCCCCCTGAAATTGTTTTAAGATGTGAAGTTTTTGAAATCTCATGGGACACAGGGTAGTCGTAAGGGAGCAGCAAGGTGTTCAAAGGTTCACAGTAAATTAATTTGATATGTGTGTGATTTCATACAGAGAAGGCTAACTTGCCAGCACATGGCATAATGAACTAAAATGTGACAAATTATTAGACTCTGGAACACCTGGTCTTTCTGTGCTGTGCTGCCATTAACATGATTATGTTTTTTAAGGTACATAAATCTATTATAAAAGAAGCTTTTTAACTTCATGTGCTGAGACATTTTGATGAAGGAAAACTAGCATAAGCTCAAAAATCTTTTGCTACATGCGATGCCTGACCCTTCTCTTGTGCGATTTGTCAGCATCTTTAAAATCTGTTGTAGGTCTTACTCTGGTATTAATGTAAGGAATAGTGGCAGAAGATTAGGGCTAAGAGGGGTAACCACACAAATTCAACAGTGTTAGAAACAGACTAGCAGATGGTGGTAATGCTGAATTTTCAGAATCCCAGTGCGTCTTTCTGGATTTCAGATGTGCCATCTAGTAGAGATGAGAGTAGTCTACAGTTCTGTTCTTTTCAGGTCTGTGTGCCCTGATTTGGACCTTCCTCAAAATAATTCTGAGTCTTAGCTTTGGAAAGCTACTAATGTCATTCCTATAATAAAATGCAAGAAACCAGTCAGCTGTTTGGAGAGAGTAGGAGAGGTTTAGTCAAGGCTGTGAAATATGTGGCAGTATAATCAAAAAGTCAGAAGATAATAAATCTGGGAGATAATTTGGAGATTCTGTTCTAGTTTGTTGGCACTCTTCTTCCCCACTCTCCAGTCTGCTAGTCTAACTGAAATACACCCTGCAGTTACCTAGCTTTCAGTTCAGTGCACAGTCACTGATACATGAATCGGTCATCTTAATTTATATGAAAGTCCCTCAAAGTCTGGTATATTTGAATTTTGCATCCAGAACCAACATCGGTTTCTGTTCTGCACACAAACCTATGGCAAAACCTGAAATGAGAATCCTTTCTTCCCCTTACCTGCTGTGTGCATTTTCTTAAAAGTACTTCAGCCTTTCCATAGAGATTTACTGGTAGCTTGATAGATGTTCCTCCACTAAAAATCTTGCAGAGAAAATAGGCTGCTTAGTGCCCTTGTCAGGTTTACATTGCAGGCTGTTGCCCCACATTTCCCATTGCTCTCCTGCTTTGCATGTCTGTGCACTGAGATTCTCTTAAGCTGTGTTTATTGAGTCTGCAGAAAAGCAAGTATTTTTCATTTTTATATGTTATACAAGATCATATATATATATAAGATATATAAAACAAAATATATAGAAAATATATGCATACACACACACATATATCTATTCTAGCGATTGATCACCTTAAGGCTGTGGTGCATTACTATTCTCTCCAATATTCTCTTATTATAAATTGCTATCAAGAATAATTTGCTGGAGGAAGACTTGTGTAGGCCTTGTGTTAACATAGGCAGCCGTTATGTCTGATGAAGGAGAAGCTCAATGCTTGCATTAAAAAGAGAAATTTATCTTTTGATTGCAAAGGACAGCTTTGAAAACATAAGAAAGTATAAACAAACAAAAGGGTGGAAAGGAATGTAGTCTGGTATCCTGGACAGGAGGCAGTGTTTTGAAATATTTTCTTGCTCAGGTACTTTATGTTGCTAGCTGCTAACACACACGCACATATATATATATATATATATATATATATATATATATACATACACACACTGTTTTCTGGGGCAGATCTTAACAGGTGAGTGTGCTGGACGGACAGGTTAGTCACCGTTCTAAGGGGCTGCCACGGAAGGTAATTTCCTTTGTGACTGTCATGTGTTTCAGGAGAAATGCAGTGTATTTTCCTGTTTCTCCCTGTATTGGTACATAGAGAATAAATAAAACAAGTTGAAGCCAAATTATTGGGAAAATGTCAGATATACGCTCCTTAGTATCCAGGTAGTTCTGCAAGTATTGCTTCCAGATCAGTATTAAAAAGCAGTAGGTAGCTGCAGATGCTGTCAGGAGTGAAATGCGTGATAGCAGATCCATCTGTCCACATCTGTCTGTCCTTTCACTAACCAGGGAAAGCACCCACTGCACTCTCATCACCACCCCTGGCCTGACCCTTACTGCATGGTCAAGGCAGAAGGTTTTATTGTTACCTTGCTCAAGGCTGTCTTGTCCTCAGGCAGTGCCCATTGCAGTCTTTGCATGTCTTGTCATCTCTTTGTTGGTTCTGTCCTAATACTTATATATCTACATGCTAATCTCCTAACTAAAAAGATGACTCCTAATTACTTTTTGCCTGTTGTTTCCTGTTTCCATGCACCAGGAACCAAACTTACTATTTCTCATGCTGTTACCCGATTAATGTCAGACTCATATGTTATTGCTCATACAGACCCCAGAATTCCCTTCAGTCATTTGCAGAGTTTGGGTGTTCCTCACTGAGCTCCCCCTCAGCCACCTGAGATCCAGCTGTCCCTTCCTGAGCTTCTCTAACTACTTCTGTAGATGTTTGCCTACAGCTTTTTGAAAAAGCTGCAGTCTCGTCTTTCAAAGTCCATGGTCATTAATCTCTTAGTCATCATCCTCATTTCTTCTAGGATCTTGAGGTATCTTTCCTCATTCTGCAGCCAAGCTGGCTATTGACCTTGACTCACCTTAAAAGTGAATGTACTTGCATATACATGAGTAGTAGTTCCAGTAGAGTGCCTATCAGAGTTGGCTAAGCCAGCTAACTTGGAGAAAGGGTTTTTAATGCACTCTAGAAAACCTTGATGCTTGTGCTCTGCTGTGTTGGCCTCTGAGCAGGTGTCAGAGGTGGCTCAGGTACCAAGGGGCACCACCAGGGTTTGGAACTGCAATGTGGAGGTTCCTTTTCCTTTTGTAAGGAAGACTACATCTTGGTCTTCTGAATTATTAGATTGCAACCATGACATCCTCTTTGTTCTCCTTCTCTTAGGTCCAGACCCATAAAGTCTTGAATAGCGTGACCCTCCTTATTATTAACAGAGTGCCAGGCATTTGAACTCCTTAATGGAGAGGAATAAAGCTGGCTGGTAAATAGCACAACAAACACAATTTCCCTGATCATTTTGGTTATTAATCAGACCATCTGGAAAGCCTGTTAGTTCAGATTTGTATCTTTCCAGTTGATGTGATTTCTCCTGTTTTCAGATGGTTGCTCATCCTGTATTCTGATAACATTTTAAATGTTAAATGTGGATGGAGCATATATTGCTAGGCAAATAATACATATTTCTTCTCTTGAAATAGCTTCTGGGAGTATTTAACCTTTTCCAACCTATTTTAAGTCTTTGTTTGAACCTGTTCTAGAGTAAAAGTAATCTCTGTGCTGTGTTTTTATGTGTTCAAATAATTCTGAAGTAGTTCACTAATGGAATATGACTATATTTAGTAAATGTACTAAGTTAATATCAGACTGAATCAGTAACTTGTGTAAAATTGTTGTGAAGCAATTCTTTACAGCTGGCTCATGTTTTAAAAAGGACTAGTAATCTTCTAGAAGCAAATTAGGAGCTTTTGCCAAACTTAAAAGTGTAAAGATTTTACTGGTCTTATATTTGTTTTTTGCAAGAATAGATTTAGCTTTGATTGCCTAAGATATGGAGTTTCTAAAGAGTTGAGAGATACCAAGTTTTTCTCTCATCCCAGTAGAAGCAAAGTTACCATGTTAATATAAACATACTCCAGGTCTTAGTATAAGCACAATTAATAAGCCTTAGAAGAAGCAGTGTTTTAAGTCCATTACACTGTTCATTTAAATTAATTTTATAAAAAGATAAATATCGCTTGATTTTCATTATTCACTGGAAACATAAGCAGTATTCTCCTTAAAGCCATACAGTATTGTTTCTTTGCAGTTTTGCTCTTTTAATTTATTCCCTGAAAGTCCTTGTGAACTTGCTAACAAGGTACAAATTAACAAAGGTACTTGAGCATTATAGGTCATTTGCTTAGTTATTTCTATGTATTCCCTAATAAATGTTAGGGAATACTGATGCCTGGCCACCTTGGTTTGAGTTGAGGAATAGAAATGTCAGCTGTACTTCGATTTATCCTGGCAAAACACTCCCTTGGTTTCAGTATTGCCTTTAGAAGCTGATTTAAAATGTCATTCTAGAAGCTCTTAAGAAGTCATGATATTTCACACCAAAATATGAAAGAGAATTGTTTGGTTTGTCAGCTGAATTGTTGTGCCATTTAAAGGCTACCATAGTCTGAGGACTACATTGTGGTATTAGTGTGTTTTTAGTGTTGTCTGATAGGATTTATGATACTCACTAAATAACTTACCTGCTTTTTGTCTGTGTTCATCAGAAAACCCTGCACATTTCTTATTCCAGATGAGTGTGTGAAATGGTAGCACTAAAGTAAAAAAATACCTGCAACTTCAGTCATAGTAGGATTGTGGTCTGAGTGACATCTGATGAATTATTGAGAACTAATAATGCCCTTTGTAGTTTATGAAAAGAAAGGCTGGTTCATACATTGAGTTATTTCAGTATGACTGAACTATAGATTTGGTGAATAATTAAGAAATAGTTTCTAAAGAAGCTTAATATATTAAGATCTGGGGGGAGCTTTCAGCAGTAGTAGAATGTCCAGACTGTCCCAGATTTTTCTCCATTTGTAATATACTATGAAAAAGAGGCAGTAATGCACCAAAACACTGACATTTCTTTGAGAAGTTATGTAATTAAAAGTACTGGGGGATTATTTAATACACTTTTTCTAAGCTTATATACTATTATTGTCTTACCAAATAAATTTGACCTTCTCTTTCCCTTTTGCCTGAGGTCTGTATTCTTTTGAAAGTAATTTGAATTTTGATAGCACTAATCTTTCTTTGGTAGGTTTGCTAAGCGGTGTAGAAAAAATTGCCAAGACTAACTGACAATTAATTTTATTCAATTATTAAAATAAGACATCAGTGCAGTACAGCAGTTGGCAAATAGGATTTCATACTTGAATGAAAAGAAAAAAAATCTATGAAGTTTTGTCCACATCATAGGCTGCTCCTTCTGTTTTGTAACTTTTGCTGAACAGAGAATAGTTTTTCCCCTTGTCAGACTTTTCTATGCATGTGTATTCCTGATCTTTGATTCTAGCTCTGGAGGTGTAGGAGAAAGGTTCTGATAAAATCAGAGTTTCCAACTCTGTGTACCATGTGCCTGTCTCCTTGAGAAAGTGAGCACTGATTGTGTAGCTGCCATACAGTATTGCTGCTTGCATTGATTTGCCAACACTTGACAGCAATAATTTATGTAGAATAATGTGAAATCTGGAAAAGCAAAAAAGTGTTTTCCTTCTAAAGGATTTGATTTTCACAACTTCGATCTCCTTGCTGAAGAGATTGAATGCAGCAATCTCTTGATGTGTGTTTTACTGTGCCTGGTGTTAAGGCCCAATTTCAGGTTTGAATGGCTTCCAGCTGCTGCAGTGAAGCATTACATCTGCTGTTTGGTTATTTCCATTACAGTTAGTCAATAGGCCAAACTTTAACACATCATTTCATTGCAAAGGTAATTAGTGTTTGCTGTCAAACAGTAAAACAAGTTTAAGATCGCTAGTTGCTCCAATTTCTGTTCCCAGTGGTGCTGAGTTATCCTCTGCACTGTCAGTAAATGTGCAAAATACATTGATAAAAACTTCCTTTGATATTTTAAAATAAAATGATATTTTCTTTGCATATTAATTGCACGTAGAACAGTGCTGGATTATCAGAAACACTAAACCAAAATTTTTACATTAAAAAGAAACTTTATTTGTTGGAAGATTTGTTATTTATCCTAGCAGTGTAGATTGCTGTTTGGGTTTGCGTCTACTTTTAACCTGTGGCTGGTACTAAAAGTTCCCTGTTTAACCACAGGTGTGATTGCAATTTTTTATTTGTTTGTTTAAGCAGAGCACTCCTTTTGACTAGCCTTTCCCATTGGCTACCATTAAAAGTCCAAGTCTCTTCAGAGCCTAGAGTGCACTCTTGCTGCTCTGCAGTATCTTTTGGATGCTTCATCAGGTGTTTATAATGACATTTCTGCTGGGTAGTATGGATTAGATATTTCTCCTGTGCTATAACTTGGGTTCCTTTCAGAGGCTGTGTAATGAAAAGAAGAAATTATGCTATCTACTTGAACAGCATTGAGAGGTGAGGTGGCGTACAGCTGAGCACGTTTTGAATTGAAAGAGACTGGTCTTTTACAGGTGTGGATGCCTGTGTATATTTCTAGCCACTGCATTTGGTTAAATCATGTACTTTGTTAGTGTATGTACAAGCACCAGGTACTGCTTTCAGTTCCGTATCATGGATTCTCTGTGTATTCCTTGTACCAGTGCCAGTGTCCCCTCACATTTTTGATTCACCTAATGAGATGATGGCTCATGAACTCTGAAAGAGTTGCCTTTTTTTTTTTTTTTTTTTTTTTTTTTTTTTTTTTTTTTTTTTTTTTTTTTTTTTTTTTTTTTTTTTTTTTTTTTTAGATTTTGATTTGACAGTGGACAGTTAAAGTTTACTGAAGTCAGATGGGTTGTTGGAGTCAGGGTATCTGTTCCCATGCAGTGCTCTCCACTATTTTTGTTACAGGATTTTTTCCTTTTCTGCAATTTTTGGCCCTTCATGTAATACTTCTTAGTATAACTTTGAATTGTCATGAATAACTGGGTAAAATAGTAGCTTTCCTGGCACTGTTAGTTACATATGCCATGGAGGTAAAGCCTTGCTGTAGAGAGGTGGAAGCAGGTGAAATTGCCTTAAGGGAGAAAACTCTCTCCCCTAGCTTTTTCTGCATAGTCATTCATCCATACTGTGTTTGTTCTCCTGCTCTCTCAGTCACTGTGAGATCAGGGGGATAATGCTCTGGGTGTACTTCCAGTAGTGAAGGACACATGGCAGATCAGTGTTATTGCAGTCCTTGACATGAAATCCATGTATTTTCAGTGCCAAATTACATTGGTGTTTCTTCCACCATGTTTTACTGTGGATCATAGATACTTAATGGGCTCTTATCTTCAATTTACCAGCTTCTTTGTTTACTTTCCTTCCTGGGAGGCTTGTAGTTGTTATTGAGAGTTCTCAGTTATTTCATCTTGCTTCCTCTTCCAATGTTCACTTGTATTTCTCATGCTGGACTTTTCTAAATGTATTGATCAAAATGTATCACTATGATAACTGAAATTGAATCACTTGAGCCATCAATGAGGGCTTCTAATTTAGTCAAATTTTGTGTATCTACCTTTTAAATTTATTTGGTTAATTCCATGTTTTAGGTCACTTGGTCTTGCAATGGCACCTCGTGTGAGATTCCTTCAAAGGGTTCGGAAGCAGCTTTGTGCAAATGAGGCAGCCAGTGGGGAAGAGCACTTGGAGAAGACAGAGCAAAATAAGAGTGCTCTCACCTTGGTAAATGAGGAAACAGTGGAGAAATGTGGAACTAATTTCAGTGGAAAAACACCTGTTAATAAAACAAAGGAAAAACAGAGAAGAAAAGAAACTGTGGAATGTTCTGTTTGCAGTGGAAGTGCTGAGGAGACTGGTGAGTCTGAGGATGAATCGAAAGAGCTGTCTGAGGAGGAGGAAAAAGAAGTTCATGTACCTAACAGGGTACCAAACTCAGACTCCATGCAGTTCTTTGAAGATGATGACGATGATGACGAGAACAATACTGAAGGTCTTGATTTGCTGACAGTGAAACAACGCGATGTTTTTGGTGTGGAAGCTAAAGATAATCCAGCACCGGTAAGTATGCTTTATAGGAAGGCTCATGAATCTTAGTCATTTTTTATTGGACTTGCTCCAAGGAAGGAGGAGAGGAAAAGAGGAAATTCTGCTCTTAGCAGAAGACTTGTTGGAAGTCGGACATGTTGTGCATATGTATCAGAGCAAAAGATAAGTGATGTGACTGAGCTTTTATCGTTTTATGCAGTTAGCATAGTTATACTTGCATAACGAATATCCTTGTACTCACTTTAATTTATCATAAATGTGACTTGAAAACCTGCAAAATTTTGACAGTTTTAATTCTTATCCCTTCCTAATTTGCTTGTACCTCTCTAAAGAGCTGCCACTTTCAGTCATAATTTTGATGCTGAACCACGGTTTATAGCACTGGGAACTGAATTACAATACACGATGAGCCACTTCCTGACAGATATCATAGCAGAATTATCTTTACAAGAATGTAACCTTCAAACAATGACTTGTACTTTCAACAGGACCATTCCTATTAGAATTGAGCCAGTTTCAAAGATAGAGAGGGAGTGCAAATGTTTCTTGTAAGGCATGGCTATGAAGGTTTATTCATGTATTCATGTAAATCTTTCATTTCCTTGGCACGTAGCTTTATAATTTTGATTTCTTTGTCCTTGGTATTCTGAGAAATACTTCTTTCTTTTAATCTTTAAATACAGCGTTACAGGAAGGGGAGTTTTGGTTTTTTTAGATTTTTTGGTAATTTCTGAAAAGCAGATTTGGTATGTGCAGATTGGGATTTTTTTTTGGTGTATCCTTTGCTATCTAGCAACTGTATTTCTGTAGTAAAAAGATACAAGCAAAATAACCATCTGGTTTGGCAAGGTTTTCTTCTGAACTTAGATGCATTCAAGGGCAGCCTCTGTTAAGCAAAGTATTTATTTTTCCAACTGGTATTTTAAATCTTTCTTTTTTTGAGCTATTACTTAACTACACAGGACACTTACCATGACCTTGAAGCTAATCATCGTCCTAGCTGCATTAATAAGCAGCATCTTTCTTTTGGTGTGTAGTGAAGTATGAACTAGTTTTATCAGCTGTCATTGTCAAAGAGGAGCAGTTGCACAGTAATCTGACTGCTGCCTGCACTCTCCTCTCTACTGTGAGGAGGTTGACACAGGTTGCAATCTCATCTGAGAACTGTGGAAACAGAGCTAACTTTCTGTTTCTGTTATTCTCAGCCTGAGTGGTTCTGCCCAGGCATGGCCACTCCCTGGCAGTAGCATATATTTATTAATAAATTTCAGTTTTGTCTGGAAAAGAACTTAGTGTTTTAAAAGCAAAGTGGAGTAAAATGTCTGTGCCTTATTTAAAGAATGATCATCTCACGGCTTTCTTACTGCTTCTACAATTTTGCATGCTGAAATACACAGACAATTCCATGCTGTTTTTAAGATGTTGCAAGGTTTTGTTCAGGAAATGGTAGAAGGTGAAAGAATGAACAGAAGAAATTTTATGAAAAATACAAGTGATTTAGAAAGTAATTTGTAACCACACTGGCTAACCTTTTAAGAGTTTTCCAGCATTAAACATTTGTAGGTTAGTTTATGTTCAGGTAACTCAGACATTATTTTCTGTGATACAATGTGGAGTAACTGCTGTAAGGGTTAGTAGTTCATGTTTGTTGTACAGGTGCAGAAGACCTTGTACCACCTAAATCTCTGGTACATGGGGACGTAATTAGAAAATACTAAGTTTCTCTTCTAAACAGCTGAGAATAAAATAATTGAAAGTTTCAAGATCTGTGTCATTAAAAACTTAAATTTTAGGTAAATAAAGTCCTGCACAAGTGCCTATAGTAGTGAAATACGTGGGTTTTTTTAGAAGGTCAAAATGCAGAGCATACTCTGCTTGACTTGATCAATGCATACAGTAGTGTGGGGTTTATTACCATATGATACTGTGAAAATTATTGATAAATTGTGGAATGCTTTAAATGTAAGGATTCTGTTTTTAGTAAGAGTAAGAGAATAAAGGTTTCTGTCACTAACCATATTAACTTTTAAAGTTTTGTTATAGAAATGCAGCATAGTATAAATTGCATTAAAAGACTAGGGCACTGTGCATTTTTTATTTGACATAACTCAGCGCCTCATTTTCTGGATGTTAAGACAAAATTGTTGCTGTGCAACAGTTTTTATATTTTTTATTCCATTTCTTTATTTCCTGGATAGAAGTTCTGAAGTGATTATTATTGCATTAAGATGGATCAGTTAATATTTAAAGCATTAGTATTCTGGGGTGTGACAAGCACTGAGCAGTGTGAATGCAGTTTTCCTGGTGCTGTGTGTTGCAGTGTCCTTCTAGGAAGGACTTGGGAACCAGTTTGCTGCATTAGTAGTAGGAAAGGCTGCAGAGAGTCTATGAACATAGAGTATATGCTCAGCTGCATCAGTTTGGAGGATGTTTTAGGAAATCTGTTCTGTGTGCTAAATAAGGTAGTAGTCCTTTGCAACCATTGATATGTGGTCACCTAATTTGGAGTTTATGAATATGCCCACAAAGATTGAATTCAGTTTGCATTTATGCTTTTAATGTGTATAATTGTGCAATTTCAGTATTCTTGCTTTAGGCTTCCTGTCCTAAAAGTAGTTCCAAAGCAGTCCTGTTGTGATTATTGAGCTCCAGGACATTTTTTGTAAATGGAAACATTAGGTTTAGTTTCAGTTTTTGAATTGCTTTTTGTTAGAGACACCATTGCTTCCTCATGCTTGTCTCTAGTCCCTCGGATGGAAGGAGGTGCAAGGGAAGTGTTAGGCTGGTTCTGATGTTTGGTTACAGGTGGGGTTTGCTCATTACTCTTTGTACCAAGGGAAAGGAACTGGTCGAAAAGAGCAGGGGTTATTTAAACTGATGATGGATTTGAAGGGGATTTGTGGCATTTTTGTAGAACAGTTTGTTTTTGATGAATGTATGTGGTAACCAGCCTAACTGTAGAAGATGTTATGATGTGAAGTGTGACACATCCAGTGTTAATCCTTCTAACAGTGTGACTTGTGGCTCAGTTTCACTCTTTCCCATTCTTGGTGTGTGTCCCTTGGCTGCATGTGTACTTTGCCATCTTGTGATAACACATATGAAAGAAAAATCTGTTTTCTGCATTGCTGTATAAAAGGAGAAACCTTGGATAAGTTGAAAGACCTTGGCAGATATTGAAATTTTGTTGTGAGCTTCCTAGCTCATTTTACTGGCTGCTCTATTTATGAATATTACTTTGATATGTTAGGATTTTTAGCCAGTGGTCTAACTCGTGGGACTTATTTAGATAAGTATAGTGTTCTTACACATAAAAAGAAGGTCAGCTATATGCATAGAGCCATTAGCAGATAGACAGTATTTAGCTGTTGTGTTAACATTATGGAAATTATTCTTTTAAAGTGCATTTAACAGTATTAGCAGTATTGATGTTGCAAAGACTGTAAGTACTCCCTGGTTACAAACTTTGTTTCTAATGCTAATTTTATGAAATCACTTTTTGCATTTGGCAATTCAAAGTCTATACTTGTTCAGCTTCTATCGTTATTTATTTTGAAGACTAAGATTAAACCTATAATAATTTTAATTAGTTTTGTTTATACTTTAATTTTAGTCAACTTGTCAAACATATTGCATACTGTCAGACTTCTGCTCTTGAATTTTCTGTTCTAGTGCAGAAAATACTACATTACTGAGTTCTTAGAATTGCTCTGGCTTCCTCCCTGCTTCCCCATTCCTTGTTTTATGTACTCCTAAAACTTCTCATGTGTATTCAACAATCGCTGCTTGGAACACTGTAACAAGCAAAAGCATACAGTGGTCTGTCTTGAATAGTACTTGCAGATTCCTTGGAGTTAGTCTGGCTCTTGAAGAGCATGCTGTTTAAATATTGTGGCTATGGAAGGAAATTATTTTATATGCTGTGATTCTGTCTGAGCTATCTGGCTTCCCTAGCAATCCATTATTATTACATACAGTGAAATTTTCTTAACTTCTCAAACACATGGAACAAACACTGTAAACTGGCATATCATGATCTGGATATGTACATATTGATAAAAGCAGGAAAGAATGAGATGAAGGTAAATCTCCCTAACTAGTGACTCCCTGACTAGTGATGATGGGTGAGTCTGTACCAAGAAGCACAGAGTGGTAGCTCCTTGTAATGTGGGCTTTGCATGTTACAAAGATCAGGGAAACATCATATAATATGCACTAAAATGAGGACATACTCCCCTGGAATTTTCTTCTGTGACATTGAGAAGAAATCCTGTTACACTCCACAGAAATTGAAATTAATTTTCAGCAATGTGATTTTCCTCCTGTTATGTGTTATGAGAGAGCTTTTCACCACTCTTATGTTTATATACTGCTTTTTTTGGTGTGAAACATCTTGTTCTTCTCACCACCTCTTACTAGCTATTATTCTTATGCTTTCATATTAATATATTTTAAACAGTTGAGTTTGTCTCCTTGAAGCTTTTCAGGGGATAGCAAGGTAAAAAATACCCAAAGGATAGAAAAAGCAAGGAGACAAGCTGGCTGGCTCTGGCAGTGGCATTTCCCTTAGGGGTAGCCTGCTTTGCTCCTGCTGTGTATTGTGTCCAAGAGAAGAAAGCTGCTCCGGGCAGCCTGCTGGCTCTGAAGAGAGCATTATTCCTTGGAGACATGTTGCAAAGTGAGCAGTCTGGCAGAGAAAATAGAGAAGTTACTTATTTGTAAGTTAAGTAGAAGTCAATAATGTGATGCATTATATACCATAAAGTCTCCTTCCTGAAGAGTGTAAGTGCTTTGGATTCTCAGTCCAGTAACAGAATGCTTACGTATTTCTAGTTAAATTACAGCAAGTAATAATTCATATGAAAAGCAAAATATTTGCATACAAGTGAACTAGGCCTACATTTAGATATTAGCAAAGTGCTTCAAGATTCCAGTGTTAGAAAAAGTTATCACGCATGAATGGAGATGAAACCTGCTGATAGTACCTTAAGCCTCTTTATCATCACATCACA